CTCGGTGAGGGGCTGAGGGCCGTTTTCAGGCTGGCCAAGCCCCCCGGCGACGGAAGCTCCCAGCCTCTCCTTTTTTTCTTTTTTTTTTATTCTGGGATTTATTTACCTTCTATAATTGAAACATTGTAGCCTTGAGAGGAGCTCAGAGCCAGCCAGGGCGGTCGGGAGGGAAGCCTCCTGCTTGCTCCAGCTCTGTGGCCATGGCCGGCTGAAAGCAGGTATCTGGGGTTCATTTACCTTCTATAATTGAAACTTTGTTGCTTTGAGTGGAGCTCAGAGCCCACCGCGGCAAGCGGGAAGCTTGGCTTCCTCCATCATTGGGGCAACCAAGCCTCCTGCTTGCTCCAGCTCCGTGGCTGCCGATCGCCATCTTGGTTGGGTTAATTTGCATATAGTCGCTCTGATTGGCTGGTGGGCATGGCTTAAGGCATAGCGAAGGTACGGTAAATTTGCGTGTTTGTCTTTTATGATTGTAGATATATATATATGACTATCACTACAATCAATTTTAGAACATTTTCATCACCTCAGGACTTGTTTCCTGATCCCACGCAGCCCAGCAGACTTATTTCTTCTAAGGCTCACTTCTTCTAACTCTGTGACTTTCTAAATAAATTTTCGCTTATGTTTTTTTAAAAAAAATTTTAAAAGAAGAAGAAATTCTGTAGCTATTCACTATCATTTCCTTGTCAGTCCATCCATCTCAGCCCTAAACAATAACTAATCTACTTTCTGTCTCTATTAATTTGGTAATTCTGGACATTTCATATGAGTTGAGTTACATATGATATGGTCTTTTGTGACTAGCTTCTGTCACTCCATAGTCATTGCAAGGTTCATCTATGTTGTAGCATGTTTCACTTCATATTTCATTCCTGTTATTGCTGAATAGTATTCATATCCACATACCACATCTTTCTACCAATTTTTGAGCTCGTGGACATTTGGGTTGTTTTCACATTTTGGCTATGTTGCTAAAAATATTCCTGTACAAGATTTTGTATGGAGGCATGGTTTCATCTCTTGTGTTTATATCCATGAGTGAAATTGCTGGGTCACATGGTAACTATAATAACTTGAGAAACTGTGAAAGTATTTCCTAAAGTGGCTGCACCATTTTACAGTATCACCCGCAGAGTATGAGGATTCCAATTTCTCTACATGCTCACCAATACTTGATAACTGATTTGTAGATTATGGCTAACTGAGAATTGTGAATCTTTTTTTTTCCCCTCAAGTCTGCTTTCAATTGGGTCAGTTTCGCATTTCCTCAAATTTTGATAGAGATTAAATTGAATCTGGAGATCAAGTTAGGAAATATTACCATCTTAACAGTATTGACTTTTCCAATCAATAAATGGTGTGTTTTTTACACTTATTTAGATCTTTAATGTTTCAACAATTTTTTTCTGAATAGTTTTTAGAGGATAAGTTTTATACTCACTTTGTTAAATTTACTCCTAAGTATTGGATTCCTTTTGATACTATTGTAAATATAATTGTTTTCATAATTTCATTTTCTGATTGTTCATTGGAGATGTGTAGGAAAAAATTATTTTATATATTGATATTTTATCCTTCAATCTTACTGAATTCATTTATAGGTTCTAATAGATTTTTAAGAGGTTAATTAGGATTTTCTATATACAAGATTATGTCATCTGCAAATAAAAATAGTTTAACTTCTTTATTTCTAATCTGGATATATTTTATATCCTTTTCTTGCCTAGTTGCTCTGGATACAACTTCCAGTACAATGTTGAATAGAAGTGGTAATAGTAGACATTCTGTCTTCTTCCTTATCTTAGGGGGAAAGCATCCAGCTTTTCACTATTAAGTATAATGCTAGCTATGAGTTTTTCATTTAGTCCCTTCTTTATTAAGGCAACTTCTATTCCTAGTTTGTTAAGTGTTTTTATCATGAAAGTATGTTGGACTTTGTCAAATGCTTTTTCTGCATCAATTGAGATGACTATGTGGTTTTTAAATAATTTTCTACTTACCTTATTTGATTTTTTAATATTAAGACAATGTAGTACATTCCTGTGAAAAATCTTAGTTGGTCAGAGTATATAGTTCTCTCTATGTATTGCTGAACTCAATTTGCTAACATTTTATTGAGAATTTTTATATCCATTTTCCATAAAATATATTGATCTTTAGTTTTTCTTTTCTTGTGATATCTTTGTCTGGTTTGGGTATCAAGCTAATACTGACACATAGAATGAGTTGGGAAGTGTTCCCTCCTCTTCTATTTTTTGGAAGAATTTGTGAAGAATTTTTATTAATTCTCCTTTAAGTATTTGGTAGGATTCACCAGTGAAGCTATCTGGACCTAGGTCCAGATAAACTTTGTGGGTAGTATTAACATTTTATTACAAAATTCAATTTTTTATTAAAGGTCTGTTCAGATTATCTACTTTTTAAGACAGTTTCAAAAGTTTGTGTCTTTCTATTGAATAGATTCTTGCTCTTCTTGCTAATGTTCATCAGTGAATAAAAGCTGGTATTTTAAACCAGCGGGGCTTTAGGTTTTACTTCTATGTTCCACATTTTATTGAATAAAACACATGAATAAAAATCATTAACTTGAAGTCATAATGCTGGAGAATAAATTTAATATGTAGTCTAAGGTTCCTGAATTATAGTTTGGTTTCCTAGTTTCTATTTCTAACTCAAGAATTAATAAGCCAAGATGTATTTATTACTAAAAAAATATTCTGGATCATTTTCCCCCATTGTAGAAGAGGACAATTGAAATAAGTGATTTCCAAGGTGCTTTCTTACCTAAAAATTCTATTATTTTGTGAAATGTGAGTCACTGTGAAAGAAATGTGAGGTAAAGGAAATATAAAGTGAGGACCATAATAAGCACAATAAATAATTTGGAAAAAAAACCCTAGATAAATAAATATAAACTGATGACAACTTCTGGTAATGGTTAAATAATGAGATTCATGTTCTAATGATACATAATTGATATCAGATAACTGTCCTATTTGAAATAAAGTTACCTCAAAATAAAATTAAAAGTCCACTACTTTTCTTTTTTAAAATATTTGATATGCAAATTATAAATATCTGCACATGGACTATTAGATGACACCTCTTCTGAATTAATTAAATATAAATGTGTTAACATGAATAATTCTTAAATATTCAAGTAAAAATAAAGCATGTCAACTAAGGTACAAGTACTTGAATTACATTCATATAAATTAATACTCATAGAAATACTATAAAAATGAGGACCATAATTAAACAAATTTCAGGATTATAATTATGTATGGAGAAGGGGGGAAGATAAAAGAAATGGAGTGGGGTACATAATGGGCTTAACTAAATCTGGAATTATCTTTTTAAAAATATGCAAAACAAAAATGACCATATTTTGATATTTAATAAATTTGAATGGGACTATTACATACTTTTGTCATATTTCTTGTAGCTCTCTCTATACCTGAACTAATTCATAATGTTAAAAAGAAAAAGGAAAATTTATCTGAATATCTGAATTTTATATGAAACACTTCAGAAGTATGAAAATATAGAAATAAAATATCAAAACATCATGAAAATAAATATTTATATTTCACTTAATTGCTGATCATTTTTATTAGGGGGTAGTCATAATACTCACCATTTGAAGCTGTAAAATCAATAGCCACCGTGAAATTGATTTGCGTTCTAGAATATAAGTAAATAAAAATCGTTAATAATGAAATAATTTCACAAAAAGTTTGATTTCCATTTGTGTTACCATATTACTTAACATAACTGATTTTCTTAAATATTACTGGCAACTATGTTACAGTACATACACACTGGATAGTATCAGATACGCAGTTTTTAATGGTAAGAATTTGGCAAAATATCTTTACAATTATACACCTGTAAAAAAAAACATAAGGTGTCTGCAATAAAAATGAAGAAGTCAAATTGCAAATAATTATTTGCCAGTCTCCAATGTCCGCATTCATTTTTAATTTGCTTTCAAAATTATTCTATAATCCATGTTAAATTATTATGCCCTTAAAAGTGTGACATGGCTAAAATAATCTCTAGGACTCCAGTAATATCATTTCTTGAACTCATTCTTTCCAAAATTAAAAAAACAAACAAATGATTTTCTCCTGCTTTCCTAAAAAAATGAAGTATTTCAGACACAGATCCATCTCTCAGTGATTACTGACTTCTGGTGTGTGTGTGTGTGTGTGTGTGTGTGTGTGTGTGTAGATATAAATATTTATTTGGATGAAATTGGTTGTGTATACTTTCAGCAATTGATAATTAACCCAAAATGATTTTTTAGGGATTATATTGTTCCTTTTTTTTCTGATAGAAAGATATACCTCTGAGTCTTTCTATAAGTAATTTAGCCTCTTTTTCACCAAGTAAGGCATAAAAACACAAATATGTGACAATGATATGATTACTGGTATAACCTGCATCATATTTAATTTAAAAATAATTTTAATTGAAAAAGCAAATCATTTGAAAACATGACTACTTAGACTATTTTTAGTAACAAATTACTTTGACACTGCACAATTGATTTACCACTTCAGGTCTGAAAGTGTTGTTTAAATGGTGGTAGTGTTGCTGGTGGCGGTGATGACGTTAGGTATTTCAGCATAGGGTCCCTTTTAGTTCTCTTAGCACTAACTATAGTAACATTTCCTTCTGTCTTTAAAAATTAAGCCTGAAGAGCCCTAAATACTATTCAGGTATTGAAACAAACTCAATCATTATTTCCTAAGGAATGTATCTTTTATGCTTTACATTTAATAAAAAAAAAACTAATAAAGATTCTCTTTATAGCTACATGGTAATTTCTTTTTAGATTAGAAATTAGGTTTATAGGCTAAGAATATAGGTTAATTTGGAACATACACTAACTAGTATGAACCAAAATGAGTTTTAAAATTTTTAGAAAAAGAATATAGGGACATACTTGGGATACATTTTGAGATAATAAATCTTTTTAAGGAACTTGAAAGAACTGTCACCATCGGTGAATTACCTTGTCATTCTGCTGAAAGGGACTGAACTGACTGTACTACAGGGAGTATGGTATATTAGAAAGGGTACAGCTTTTGAGTCTGAAAAAACTGGGTTTGAATTCCAACAATCTAGTTACTGACATTAGTCAAGTTTTAAAACTCTCAGAGGGAAGGTGCCTGGCACAATAACTCTCTCTCTCTCTCTCTCTCTCTCTCTCTCTCTCTCTCTCTTAATCCTCACCCCTCACCCGAGGATATTTTTTCTATTGCATTTTAAAGAGAGAGGAAGGGAGGGAAAAGGAGGGGGAGAGGGAGGGAGAGACAGAAAGAGAAACATCAATGTGAGAGAGACACATGGATTGGTTGCCACCTGCAGGGGCCCGGATGGGGGCGGGACGACCTGCAACACAGATAAGTGCCTTGGACTGGAATCCAAGGCATGATTTTTTGGTGTGTGGGCCGATGTTCTAACCACTTTGCTATAAGGGCCAGGGCTCAATTCTCTTTTATAACAGTGTTTGCACAATGCTTTCCACATATTGGAATGCCCACCTGGTGGTTGATTGATTTCAAGATTTGATTGGTTCTTTGCCTCATTCTGCATGTCAGAAAGAATCTTACTGTTTTACTGTTTTGAATCAGCAGGATGCAAATCAGAAGAAAAATATGATAGCTCAATTCACAAAGTGCTTCATGGTTGTGACAGTCCCTTAGCCTGTTATTACACCATTTGGATTTTTCATTTAAAAAACTATAATTCAACAATTATTTATTGAGTATTTTCTGATGGTCAAGCCCTGTGTTTAAGTGATAAAGAGAAAGCAGTAGCAAACCAAACACTATCCTTGAAAACTCATAGAGTTTACAATTCCAGCTTCTTAGTAACAAAAAAGTGACAAAAACAGCACAGGAGTTTATAACAATTCATAGTTAATAACATAACCTAAATCTCAACTGTGCATTTAAAATTTGTTCATTCCCATGATTTCTAAGAATTTGACATTAATAGTATAATGTATAATTACTATATACCAAGTGTATTTTGAAAAAAAAATAATAAAAGTTTTTTTTAAGTTGCTAGCAAAACCATAACTTTAGACTATAAGGCAGATTTCTTCAAGACTCTGATAAATTATTTGTGTCATAAAAGTAAGCCAGACAAAACATCTTCATTATTAATCTTGTTACCCTTTTTCATTCTTCAATATTTCTTGAAGACTAATGTTAGAGAAAAAAAATCAATCATGTGTCAAAATAAGAAATCTGAATTTACAGGCGATGATTGAATATTCATATTCAGAATATTCATAAAACTATCACATGTAAGTCTCAAAATATTCTGTTCAGGAAGTGTCACTTTAGCTGTCATTTTGTTTTACTATAGTCTACATTTATGTTACATTATAGTCTAGAGTATAAAACAAGGCATGCCTGCCAAATTTCATAAGTTAGTAGTAACATCTTATGAGACTTCCCAATTCATACATCCTACTACTGCTAAAATATATACTTGGAAAAAGTCCTTATTTAACTCTGCCACCTTTCCAAAAGCTGTGAATGACAGACAAATCAGATGTCAAGATGGGAAATGTAACTAGCAAAGCAAAGATCCATAGAAAACAAGTACAGGTGTGCATATTGAAGAAAACTGCACATATGTATGCACTCCCACACACATGCACACACAGAATAATACCATCTAAAATAACTTTCCTACAACTGTCTTTATACATTAATTCTTGAGAACTAACAACTGTGCTGGGGGTGTACGGAAGGATTGCATTACTTTCTCCCCAATTTCAAGTTCTGTTTAGTTGCACAAACTTAACATTATTAACATGAAGGTTAATAATGTTAACATCCTTCTTTAAATGAATCTTGACAAATGCAGATTCAGATCCACAAGCTGTTGGATTCTAGAACCCAAAAGTGCAGATGAGATGTCTTCCCACTCTTAATATCCCTCTCATTATTGCCACGCTGGTACCAAGACTTTGCTTCTGCCTTGACTTACTGGCTATGCAATCAGGTTTCTACTTCAGTTCTAAAACCTGCCCTACACCTGTTCACTTGCCTCTGGCATTATCATCAGCCTAATCCTGCATAACCTCAGCTCACTGTGGGCTAAACCTTGAATCCTTTTCTGTCTTACCTTTTTCCTCTTTTGTTAAAGTAGTTCAACTACCTAATTGGCAACACAAACAGCAGCCAGATTCTAAATTTCACTGCATCTTCACAATCCCTGCTTCCCATGCCCATAAACTTTAGAGGATTCATTACCCTTGACAACTGAGATCTGCTAGAATGAGGGCAGGCTTTGAGATGCAAATTCAAATATAAATACTTTCACCTTCTTGCAATGTGATCTTGGGAAAGCTATTCAATCTCTTTGCACCTCATTTGTAATAAATTAAGAATAATGAAACCTCCCTTGGATTATTTATCATAAATACTCATAGTAAAGTGGGAAGAGAGGGAACAATATCTCAATGTAATTAAGGCCATATATGACAAACCCACAACCAACATCATACCCAATGGGCAAAAACTAAAAGCGTTTTCCTTAAGATGAGGAACAAGACAGGGATGTTCTCCAGCACCACTCTTATTCAACATAGTACTGGAAATCCTACCCACAGCAATCAGACAGGAAGAAGAAATAAAAGGCATCCAAATTGAAAAGAAAGAAGTAAAACTGTCATTATTTGCAGATGACATGATACTGTATATAGAGAACCCTAGAGATTTCACCAAGGAACTACTAGAACTGATAAGTGAATTTAGTCAAATACCAGGATACAAAATAACCAGAAATCAGTTGCACGTCTATACACCAACAATGAACTATCAGAAAGGTGAACTAAGAAAACAATCCCATTCACAATTGCATAAAAAATACCTTGTAATAAATTTAACCAAGATGTAAAAGTTCTGTACTTGAAAAATTCTAAGACATTGAGGAAAGAAATTGAAGAAGATATAAATAAGTGAAAGCATATACCATGTTCATGGATAGGAAGAATTAACATCATTAAAATGTCCATACTACCCAAAGCAATCTATAGATTCAATGCAATTCCTATCAAGATACCAATGGCATAGTCCACAGAACAATAACAGATGTCACAAAAATTTATATGGAACCAAAAAAGACCCTAAATAGCCAAAGAAATCTTGAGAAATAATAACAAAGTTGGAGGAATCATACTACTTGATATCAAGTTATACTACAAAGCTGCTATACTCGAAACAGCCCGGTACTGGCATAAGAATAGACATATAGATCAATGGAACAGAACAGAGAGCCCAGAAATAAACCTACACCTTTATGGCCAATTAATATTTAACAAAGAAGACAATAACATAAAATGCAATAAAGATAGTCTGTTCAATAAATGGTGTTAGGACAGATACACATAAAAAAATGAAACTAGACCACCTTCTTACAACTGCACACAAGAATAAATTCAAAATGGATTAAAGACTTAAATGTTAGACTCAAAACCATAAAAATCTTAGAAGAAAACATAGGCCGTAAAATCTTGGACATTTCTTGTTGGGGACCAGGTGTAAGCTGACAAGGTCCTTGCACCTGAATGGGCTAGCAAGGCTGGGACCCTTACCCACACAGTTTTCCCAGACTTGTTTGGATGGCGGTTATCAGTAGAATGAGAGCAACCTTTA